AATTTGATAAGTGAATATTTAACGTACATTTTGTATGAATTTGGCATTAATTTTTGGTATGTTTTGAGAAGATTAAGCCATATTTGAACTCTTTTGGTAATAATTGCTTAAATATTGATTAAGGTTTCAAAAATTGATAAATTAGTGGATTAATGCGTTAATTTTGTGAAATTGTGAAGGTAATTGATGTATGAAATTCATGCACAAGTTGAAAGAAATGTAAGGGTCATCCAGAGGACAAAGTACACAAGAAATTGGGAGCAAAAATGTAGAAAAAGAGAAGAAGTGAAAAACTGGAAAATTGGTCAACACGGATCCGAGCTCGGATTCGTGTGTACAAGATGGATCCGAACCCTCGTCTGTACTTCTGGCGGAGAGCATCCGAGGTCAGGACGATCCGACCCCGGATCCATTATGAAAACCCTCGGATCCTGAAGATCCGAGCTCGGATCCTTTTTCAACTCTCGGATCCGAGGCTTGGATCTGTCTCTCTCCTCAGCAAGTGCCACAGCCGTTTTTCTTTACCTTTTTCACAATTTTCCAGCTATTTTGAGGGACAGAAATCGGTGGCACATGCTTCTGCAACAAAAGAGAAGACCAAATGAGTATGGACAAAAGGAAATATCATATTTTTGACTTCTTTTTACAAAATCTGAGTGGAAGAAATTATGAAGTGGGAGGTGGTAGACTTTCTACCACCTTTTATGCAGAAACACAGGGGAGAAGCAAAAGAAGACCATACGTAGCTAGTTTTCTTTCTGGTATCTAGTTTCTCTCTAGATAGGAGTTCTTGGAGAAGTACTTGGAGTTTTTCACTTGTAATCATATTGTGCAAGAGCATAGCAGGAGTTGGAGAGCTTCACCTTCAATTGGCTAAGCTTTCTTTTATCTTTCTTGTACTTGTACTTCATGATGTTTGGCATTAATAAACTTGTGAGTTTGATTGTTAAATCATTCATGAGTAGCTAAACCCCTTAATCTAGGGAGTAGATGAAACTTATGGCTAAATAATATGAATTGAATATGATTTACACTTGTTATGTCTTGTAGTAACTTGTCTACTTGTGTAGCTATGATTACGTGTTGTTGATTGATCACCAATAGCTTGTTTATAGTTGTTATTGTTCAATGAGAATTGGTAATAACAATGGAAACACATGAGTAGAGCTTAAGTTGTATGTTCATGAAAATAGAAATACACTTAGGTGGATTATTTAGCATTTCATGAAGTAAAACGGAGTAGTAGTAGTATTTCACCATGAAAATAGGGAAATCTATATTGCTCTAGGCCATTTCATCATGAAAATGAGATTTGGTAAATTTGGAAATGAATCTCTGGTTAAATAAGAATAATAGCAAGCAGTAAATCCATTCATTTGTATTGTTTATGCCATAAGTAGAATCTACATCCCTAGAATCTTCCTTAAGTGAAATTTCTCTATTTGCATTAATCATTTGTTAAACTAGATTTGTATATCAGATTTGTAGATTACAGCATTAGACTTTCTCTGCTCAATTTATTTGTAAGTCTAAATAATAGAGAAAACAAGAGCTTAGTAATTGTTTAAATTGCTCCTCGTGGGATCGACCCGATACACATCTTGTACTACAATTGCGACCTGTATACTTGCAGTCCAACGGGTGTAAAATCGGAATTGAACTTGCATTGATATAAAAGTCCCGTCATTTACTATGGACTTTGAAGATCGATTGCCTTCTCCACGCATCCGATAGGTCAGAACACTTTTCATCAATGCGAACGGAGATTTCGTCAGATATGTCTTCGGACATCTTTGTTGAGTACATATAAACAGCAGGAAAAATTGCTACAGGAGAAACAACAAGAAGGATCAGCAAATTTAAGCATTTTGGTTGATTCCTATTAGAATGAATCACAAAATTAGCAAGTCCAAGCGCTACATGACTATCAGAAAATTCCTTTTTTTTTGTGCATTTTGGTGACTGGTGAAACTTGTTGTTTCTTGGGTACAGTTGACTTATACCACAACATACCTTTTGATCAGACAGTAGATTAAAATTCTCTGAATAACAAAGAAGAGCTTCAAAATTAGTTCCTAACCAAATTGAATGCAGAAGCACTCTTAGGTAAAGAAAAGGAAAATCTTATTCATACACCAAAGTTAATTTGCAAGATATAGATGAAAGCTATGAAGCGTAGAAGTCAGATGATCAACACTTCGACAAGATGATACATATAAATGGAATCTATTCATGCTTCGAAACTTAATTTGAGCCTGTATGGTCCGTACCTTAAAAACGTGGAAAAAAATTTGTCAAATTCCAGTTACCAAGGATGTATAGTATTAGCTGGAAAACTGTTCCTGTTCCTTATAAGAATCATAATGTGGACATAATGTTGGATTTTCTATTTTGTATGCAAACTAAAGACCAAGAAGAAAAGTTTAAGAAACTCAGAAATTGTCAGTGGTTAACTAATTACCGTTCTGTGTTTCCAGACTTCGTTATCAAAAGATGGAGGAAACATGAATGATGAGCAATTTTTTGTTTCCAGAAAGGACACCCATGTGGGAAGCCCAAACATACACTGCTAGTTTTGTTGTTAGGAGTCATGAAGATGCCGCTCACCAAAGTTGGAGAAAACATACACTTGCATAGGTTATGTATCCATATCGAAGATGATTCCCGCGTAATGCCAACATCATGAGTTGACTTTAGCAAAGCAAAGGCTCTGACCTGTTTAAAGTGTATATAATAACAATATTCGGAAAATAAACTTATAATAGATGAGACTAAATTGAGCCTCACACTCTAATTTTATTGGAGTCACACTCTTGAGATATTTGCTCAAACATTCACTCAACTACTGAGTTCTTTTATTTACTTTCTTTCTCTCCAGCTCTGGTGCACTTCAATTGAGAAAATGAACCACTATTTATATTAGTAAGATGTTCGACATGCAAACTCAATGTTGGAATCCTGAAAACTCAATAAAACCTCATCTAGAAACCATTTGATAAAAGTTGAAATCTGAAATTTAAAATTTGAATTCTAAAAGTTAAGCATTGAAAGTATTGAGTTGCTGAATTGTTTAAATTATATGTGTTTGATAATTAATTGAATTATAATACTGAATTATAATGTAGAACAAATATTGTTTTTTTTTAATTTTTTTTAAAAATTGCCTTCATTTGTGTATTTGAAGAAATAGAAAAAAGTGTGCGTGTATGTGAGAGAGAGAAAATAAAGAAACAATTTAGAAGTGGTGTATAAGTGTGTGTATTTGTGTATATATAAGAGAATGTGTGTGCAGGCATGTGTATCTTTTTTTTTTTTTAGAGTACAACATTATTACAATTGGTCCTATATTAGGGGGAAATGAAAGGGAGATGAATCTATCTAATCTATTTAGAAGCTCGAAAAGAGTTAAATAACTTTCAACTATAGTACTCCAGAAAATTCTGGAGAGGAAACACAGTTAGGCAACCCCTAACCTACGCCTAGGGAGGGACTCAGTCCTTTTTTTGGTGGCCAATTGAGCTAGCTCAGTTGGTACATGCATGTGTATCCATGTGCGTTGAACATAAAGAAAACAACTATGTAACATGTGCAAGAAGAATGGTACAAGAGTGTGTTGTGCGTGTGAGAGGTACAGCATGTATAGTCAATTTAAAAGATTATATACCAAGTTATCTAACGGTTATATACCAAGTTAGATATAAAACTCAGTTACAGGACAATATGAGCTAATATGACTCAATTCAAAGGAGAAATTTTTTTCAACTAGTTCGCTAATCAGATTTCCAATATATTTCACAGCTGAGAAATACTTGAAAAATTTACGTGTAGCAATCTTGATCAGAAATAGAGAAAAAAAAAGCTTTTAGTCCTTTGGGATGGGAAGCTCATAGGCAGTCCACTTTATACTATTATTGTTATTTGTATTGGTAAGACCACTTTATATTACGTAGTGGCATATGTCTAATTTTACGTAGAAAAATGTAGTAAATCGTACAAAAAGAAAATTTAAGTGGCGTTATTGAAACATTGGCTGTTATCTTATGGACGATGAAGAATAAAAAGCTTTTTTTTTTCTAGTTTTGGTATACAAATTTAAATAGTTGAAAAATGACTCTTTTTTTTAGTAATTAATAGTCTACCCACTTTGTTCTTTTCTCCAATATTACAATATATGAAAACACTTTATTTTCCTCCACACTTCTATTATTAATGTACTCAGCAGAAGCTAATCTGTACTTCAAGGTATTCATTCATATAAGACGTATAAATTCTTAAACATTTTAATTTTCAAGAATTTTGAGATATGAGCTCATAGCTATTCTTTTCCAATAATTTTAATATGGCTGGAAATGTTTCCTTTGTAGAGAGAAAATAGTGAGCGACTGAGCCCAATGAAGAAAAGAGAAGAGAACAGCCAACGTTTAAGCCCTTTAATTCTTTAGCATATGCTTTGCTTCGTGAAGTGACAGCATGAGAAAGGTCAGAACATTGGAGACAAAATATCTAAGCCACAGGAGTAACAATTAGATCCTGCAGTATTAGATGTTTTCAGTACACTAATTTTGGTAGAATTTCGATCTAACGGTGTCTAACTTCTATTATACTATACAATAGTATGCCAAGGATTTTTTTTTTTTTTTTTGCCAGATGAATGCTAAAGGTTCATTCTTTAACTATTTCTTTGCAGTTTATTGGGTTCTCATCTTCGTCCTTTGCATTTAGTAGTACTCTCCAACTACAATAACTACAATAACTACAATACATAAATAATTAAAAATTAAGATTGGACCAGTGCTAGGTAACACTCAAAGCTAGCCCCCCACTATGGTCATACACAGGCACAAATACATATATAGATATAGAAACTTATATAGACAGATGTATTAAGAAAATATACAAAGACACGAGAGTTCTTTACATCATACAGATCAAGAATTTGTTACAAATACAATGACTTTATTCGTATTTAAGTACAATGACTAACAAATCACACAACTAGCTTACTTCTGTTTCGTATACTGTAGGATGGAAAATATGGCCTGCACAGTTGCTAGGAGAAGCAAGGCACTTGCAGCCAGAAACGCAATGAAAGACCACGAGTTATTAAAATATTTCCTCACCAGGTGCGCCCTCCAAATATGCCAGCGCTTGCGAGAGTACTTGTCCACATCATAAAAAATTCTGGTGTAACAGAATCTCTGGCCAACATTGACATGTTTGCATAGCTTGTTAAACATTGTAGAGAGTGCTTCATCACTACCTAACAGATTCTCGATGATATCATGGCTGCGAAGCGTTTCAACATTGGATGGGGAATCTATGAGAAAATCTATGAAGAATATGTAATCACTTATACACCTCCATGTCTCAAATGGATTAGACATATACTCTTCATATGCAATCAAGTTTCTGAAGACGGATTCTGTAGAATCACCCACATATAGAGGAGGGATTTTAAGTACACCATTTTCGAAAGTGATATGAAACGAGGATTTACCATCCGCTGCCTTCTCGAACTTGATTCCACTTTGTCGGAGCTCACCAGCTGATTTTAGGAACAGAGATGAGTGTGTAGTATTGGAATAAGTGGTTGAAGTAAGTGTTTCAGAAAATGAGGCAGACAGAATTTTGTGCACGAGGCCAAGAAGATGAACCGCCTCATCATGTGCGAAGTTTGTAGGATGAGAATTTAGATCTCGATGAGGCAAGTTGAAGAATAGAGGGAGAGCAATAGCTAGGTCAATAAGGTTCTCTTCTTCGCTTCGCGATGACTTGGTCATATCGAACAGTTTCTGCAGGACAACAAAGGGCAACTGATTCTCAAATAATATAAGGTCATTCTTAGTGGCTGTGCGTAGCCAAAGCATCTGACAAATGGGGTCATTCTGCTAGTGTGATCCTCGACGTCTGCTTTTCCTCAAGAACTCGATGACAAAGCAGCCATCAAGGCATAGCATATCAACAAAATCATCATTACTAAGATTGATTTCTTCTGCGTAACACCTTCGAGCTTGATCTTGAAGATTAGCCAAAGCTATGATGTATTTCTCAGCACTCTCACCTCTACGACGAAGAAGTTCTTTGAAGTAAATTAGCTTATGCTTCTCCATCTCTTTCAGTTTAGGCTTACCGTGGTGATAAGGTCCGATGGAAACCACTTGTGGCTCGTATGCCTCTTCATTTTTGTTGAAGCCGCATTTGTTGACCAAATGCTTTTGGTGCTTCGTCCCACATCGGTAGAAGCTAAAGGAATTTTTCCTTTGGTTTCCTATAAATAGAAGAGGCCTCTGAAGGTTTTAACTCGCACCACTCAAGAGAGTTATATGGGCTATTAGCTTCTTGAGTCATTTAGCCCATTTAGTCAAATATTTTAGGCTCTCTTGTTTTTGAGTTTAGGAATATTTTCTAAACTCTTTTATAAGTGCCTTATTGGCCTAGGAACCACTTTCCTACGGCTTTTGTATTTCTTTTTCATAGTAGAAATATTGCTCCTCCCTCGCCCGTGGACGTAGGTCAATTTGACCGAACCACGTAAATCTTCTGTGTCTTTTATTTGCTTTGTTATCCGTCTTTATATGGTCGGTTCTACCGCCTAATTATTATATGGCTGGTATCTACCGCCTATCTATTATATGATCGGTTATACCGCCTAATTTGTGCTAACTTGAGTTTGTCTATTTCCTGGTCCGGTCCTAACAAACTGGTATCAGAGCTGGTTGTTATATTTTGCAAGACAGGTTCATCTGGTAGGCCCGTTCATCCGGTGGGGCCCGCTCATCCTGTGGGGACCGTTCATCCGTGGGGTCCGCTCACCTTGTGGGGCCCGTTCATCCCCGTGGGGCCCGCTCACGAGATTTGCATATTTGTTTGGCCAGTTTTTGAGACAAACTTCAGGTTACAGATTTTGTGGCAACAATGACGATAACAAAGACAGTTGTCGAGAAATTCGACAGGAATGTCAACTTCGGCATGTGGCAGCTCAAGATGGAAGCCATTCTTGTTCAAGACGGAGTTGACTTGGCAATTCAAGGAATTGAGAAAAAGCCAGAAGATGTGACAGATGCAAATTTTGCTGAGATGGATAAGAAGGCAAGATCCAGTATTATCCTAAATCTCTCCGATGAGGTATTGCGTGAGGTAGCAACGGAGACTTCGGCCAAGGCTATGTGGGATAAATTGAAAGCCTTGTATATGAAGAAGACAGTCGAGAATCGGCTATATTTGAAGCAGAGTTTGTATATGCTTCGGATGTCTGAAGGTACATCTATACTCTCCCATCTTGATAAATTTGATTCCATTATTATGGATTTGGAGAATATAGATTCGAAAATTGATGATGAAGATCAGGCCCTATTACTTTTATGTTCCCTTCCCCAATCCTTTAAGCATTTCCGTGATACTATGATATATGGAAAGGAAACAATTTCGTATCGGGAAATTAAATCTGCGTTAAAATCTAAAGAGCAGATAGATAGGGATATTACTGGGAAAACTAGTGGGAGTCAAGCCGATGGCTTGTTTGTTCGGGGTAGATCTGAAAGGAGAAACACAGAAAATAGAAGTAGATCTAAGTCCAGACATAAAAATGTGGTGTGCAACTATTGTAAAAAGAAGGGCCATATTATCTCTGATTGCTTTAAATTGAAAAATAAAGAAAAGCAAAAGGAGAAAAGGAGTGAAACCACCGAGGCTAGTATTGCCGTTGATGAGAATGATGGAACTATTTTCTGTGCAACGGAAAATAATTTTAGGTCTAACAATGAGTGGATTTTAGATTCGGGTTGTTCATATCATATGTGTCCCAATAAGGACTGGTTTTCAACATATGAATCAACTGAAGGTGGAGTTGTCTTAATGGGCAACAACGCTGTTTGTAAAGTTGTTGGCAAAGGCACAATCCGGATTAAAATGTACGATGGTATTGTGAGGACGCTCACAAATGTTAGACATGTTCCAGATTTGAAGAAAAATCTCATCTCTTTGGGCACTCTTGAGTCTATCGGGTGCAGGTATTCAGGTGGAGATGGAGTTCTTAAAATCACTCGAGGAGCTCTTGTTGTTATGAAGGCACACAGATCTGGTACTTTGTATATTTTGCAGGGATCTACTGTGACAGGTGCTGCTGCTGTTTCAACATCATCTTTGTCAGATACAGACATCACCAAATTATGGCATATGCGTTTGGGGCATATGAGCGAAAAAGGCTTGGGCATACTGAGCAAAAGAGGACTTCTGTGTGGACAAAGTACCGGTCCATTGGAATTCTGTGAACATTGTATTTTTGGGAAGCAGAAAAGAGTCAGCTTCAGTTCACCAGCAATTCACAAGACAAAAGGCACTCTTGATTACATTCATTCAGATCTATGGGGTCCTTCTCGTGCTCCTTCTAAAGGTGGTGCCAGGTACATGTTGACTTTCATTGATGACTATTCAAGGAAAGTTTGGGTCTATTTTCTTAAGCACAAAAATGATGTTTTCCTAACTTTCAAGCAATGGAAAGTTTTGATTGAGAAACAAACAGGAAAACATGTTAAGCGGTTGAGAACAGATAATGGCATGGAATTTTGTGGAGGTGAATTTAATGAATTTTGTAAAAATGAAGGAATTGTTCGGCATCACACCGTCAGGATGACGCCTCAACAAAATGGTGTGGCCGAACGTATGAACAGAACGCTTTTGGAGAGAGCAAGATGTATGATCTCCAATGCAGGGTTGACAAACGACTTTTGGGCAGAGGCGATCAATATGGCCTGTTATATTGTCAACCGTTCTCCTTCTGCATCTCTTGATTTCAAAACTCCTGAGGAAGTTTGGTCAGGTACTCCTGCTGATTACTCCAATTTAAAAGTTTTTGGGTGTCCAGCATACATGCACGTGAATGATGGAAAATTGGAGCCTAGGGCTAAAAAGTGCATTTTTCTTGGGTATGCTTCTGGGGTGAAAGGATACAGATTATGGTGTCCTGATCCCAAATCCCCAAAATTTGTAATCAGTAGAGATGTTACTTTTGATGAATTGTCTATGTTATCTTCCAAGAAGGAGTCTTCTAGTCCTTGTACTACTGATAGTACACAGAAGCAGGTGGAGCTTGATATTGGCAGTTCTGGTCCTTCTCAATCCAAATCTTCTATTCAGCAAGTGCCAGTAGATGCACTTGAATCTACTATTGAAGATAGTTCAGAAGAAGAGGAGTATTCCATAGCCAGAGATAGACAAAGGAGAGACATTCGACCACCACAAAGATATGCAAATTTAGTTGCATATGCTTTGTCTGTTGCAGAAGAAACTGATGCAGTTGGTGAGCCTTCCACCTATTCAGAAGCAGTTTCTTGTGATGATTCTGCAAAGTGGTTGATTGCGATGAATGAAGAAATTGAATCTCTTCATCAGAATGAAACTTGGGTTCTTGTAAAGCCGCCGTCAGCTAAGAAAATTGTTGGTTGCAAGTGGGTCTTCAAGAAAAAGGAAGGTATTCCAGGGGTTGAAGATGCAAGGTATAAAGCACGATTAGTTGCAAAGGGTTATAGTCAGGTACAAGGTGTTGATTTTAATGATATATTCTCACCTGTTGTTAAACATAGCTCTATTCGTGTTTTGCTTGCTTTAGTTGCCATGTATAATTTGGAGTTAGAACAGCTCGACGTTAAGACAGCTTTCTTACATGGCGAACTTGAAGAACAAATTTATATGAGACAACCCCAGGGTTTTGAAATTGAAGGTAAGGAAGACCATGTTTGCTTGTTGAAGAAATCCTTATATGGATTGAAGCAGTCTCCAAGACAATGGTATAAAAGGTTTGATTCCTTTATGTTGGGTCATGGTTATTTGAGGAGCATGTATGATAGTTGTGTTTACTTCCGGAAGTTAAATGATGGTTCTTTCATTTATTTGCTGTTTATGTTGATGACATGCTCATTGCTGCCAAGAATTTGTCAGAAATTCACACCTTGAAACTGCAGTTAAATAGTGAATTTGAAATGAAAGATTTGGGAGCAGCTAAGAAAATTCTTGGCATGGATATCAATCGAGATCGAGGAGTAGGGAAGTTATTTTTGACCCAGAAAAATTACCTTGAGAAAGTCTTGGAGCGTTTTGGCATGAAAGATGCTAAACCAGTATCTACTCCTCTTGCTAGCCATTTTCGGCTATCTGCTGCTCAATCACCAAAATCAGATGAAGAGGAAGATTATATGGCACGGGTTCCTTATTCCAGTGCAGTCGGCAGTATTATGTATGCAATGGTTTGTACTCGTCCAGATATTGCACAAGCAGTCAGTGTTGTTAGCAGATATATGTCTTGCCCTGGTAAAACACATTGGCAGGCTGTGAAGTGGATTCTCAGATACTTGCGAGGTACTTCAAATGCATGTTTGGAGTTTGGAAGAAATAATAACACTTTGGTTGGTTTTGTAGACTCAGACTACGCTGGAGATCTTGACAGGAGAAGATCACTTTCAGGCTATGTATTTTGCATTGGCGGTTGTGCTGTTAGTTGGAAAGCTACTCTACAACCTGTCGTAGCTTTGTCTACTACAGAAGCAGAATATATGGCTGTGACCGAGGCAATCAAAGAAGCCTTGTGGTTGAAGAGTTTATTTAGCGAGTTAAGTCTATATCAAGGTGTTACTGATATTCACTGTGATAGTCAAAGTGCCATACACTTGACTAAAGATCAGATGTATCATGAGAGGACGAAACACATTGATGTGAAGTATCACTTCATTCGGGATATCATTGCTGAGGGAAAAGTCCTTATTCAGAAAATCAATACTAAGGACAATCCAGCCGATATGTTTACGAAACCTCTTCCAGTTTACAAGTTCAAGCAGTGCTTGGATTTGGTTGGTGTTCGTTGGTGATTTAAGCC